GAATAATATAAAATTTTAATCAAACATCATATATATTTTTTTCTTGATGCGTTTGATGTAGGTGGGCGTGTTGACGTAGGGTTGGGAAACCCTCCCAACAATTTCATGCAATAACATGAACAGAGGGAGAGGGAGGAGGAAAAGGAATCCAATCCTAATTTTTCAAGTGTCAAGCTAATATCATTTTAACAGACAAGTATCTTTTTTGGTTAAACACATGATCATTCATCTCTTACAACGCGTACGAGTGTAGTAAAACAAAACATACCTTGGTTACTGCTCTGGGTTGAATTTTGTCAAGAGCAGAGCAAAGGATAATGCCACTACACAATGCAATCCTGAAATCTTCTTCAGAAGGTTCAGCTGGCAAGTCTTTTCCTCCAACAACTCCTACTGTCTTTCCCAGCCACCCAGCTGCTTCATTCCTTCTTATAGCTGCAAAACGAGACAAAAGTACTATATATGTCATCTTTTCTTGCAATTTGGCCAAGTTTCATGCATTTACTACACGTTCTCCAATCGTTTTTGTTGTGGTATGATCAACACAGAGGGCTCGTAAAACCAAAATAACACAATTTTCAACATTGCAAACAGGTGTCATTTAATTGGAGGCAACCATCTTGATATTCAACCCAACATTCTAACCCAAAATAGAGAACAAAATAACAATGTGTATGGATTGAAAACTACTCAAAATAAATAAATAAATAAAGCAAATGAAGAGAACAATGGAGATAGGTGTCATGTTCCTGAGCCAGGAATATCAAATAGCAAGTCGAATCCAACAAGGTCACTTTGAATAATTGGTATGGGAGGTTATTAATATTTTGCACCAACTAACTAACAATAGTAGCTCACATAGATGATTCTTAATTGCAAGTCACAAGTTAATTAGATGTTGTCATTCCATCTTTCACTGATTTTTTGAAGTTATAAAGTGTATATACAACTTTTACCTATAGTGCATATACAATATTTACCTACAACATGGTAACTGAATTATATCTCAATTCTAAAGGCAGATAATATAAAGTTCAAGTCTGATCTTCTTTCTTAAATTTGCAACGAAACTAATAAAGCAGAGCTAATTAAATGCTATGGCGGTCGCAAGTAATGAGTTATATGTAAGTGACAGAAAGAGATAGTATAATCCCAAAGCAACCTTTGTATTGAACAGGTGTACAGCAAACCATTATGTAAATTTTGATCGATGATTCTATTGTACCAAAAAAAAAAAAAAAAAAAAAGGATCGGCCATTTATTTTAAATAATATTAAGATGAGGATAGGAACGAGTTTATTCATGGCCAACAAAGCATGAAAAGGCCCTCTAAGCGGTGGAAGAAAAGGCAAAGCTTCCGCAGGTTGTTTTGCTTATCAAAGAGCAAAGGGCTGAAGCCTAATCTGGAAGATGCAATATCAAATTGCAGAAGATTGTCCTCCAGCTGATACCCTCCCATAACTATCGAAGTTCTTGTGTTCTTTCCACCATCCACAAACCCTAAACAGATTACATCATCGCTCACGTCCACAACCGAGTTTGCTCCAAACATCTTCCAAATCACATTCTCATTATGGAGAACAAGCTCAATGGTTGGCACCGACCACCCCAACCGTGTGTGCTGAGCGCATTCTTTCTGCTTAAGCATGTTTGGAATGGAGCCACAGGAGCAACAACCCTTGTGATGTTCCTAGCCGCAGAAGCAAAAAGAAGACGATATCTGTTCAGGGCCGTCACCGAAGAAAATGACGCCGTTGGATGCAAGGTAAATGGCGAATTTCCCGTGAAAGCCAAAAGAAGACGATATCTGCGAGGGAAACGAATTGGAGTTGGAATCATCAGCCATGTTGGCAATAATAATGTGAAGGGTTAATGAGAACTGAAGAGAAATAATAAGGCGGAGAGATAATGAGAACTGAAGAGAATAAGTGACGTAATAATAATGCGAAGGGATCCCCTATCTATATAAAGAAAATAAGGGAACAGAGGCGATACACGACAAAGTACTAGGGACGCTGAAACGGTAGTTAGAAGACTAGTTAATGTATATTGTATAGTTATACCTTCTACTTTTCACATTTAATTCCAGTATATATACAAAGCTGAAAAGGTAAGTGATCACAAGATGACAAATGCACCCCAAATGAAGAAAATAATAAATAAGGAAAAGAGCAACACTAAGAGTCTAACATAACACAGTGCAAACAGACACACTACCTGTACAGTACCAGTGACAGTGACAGTTTTAAGAAAAAGCCGAGCCGACTGACACGCCGAGGTTCGCACTACCCGCCACCCTGTAACAACACGCGCACTTGCACGTGCAAACGTACTCAGTCCGAACACCAAACACTCTCTCACGGAGTACAGTGGGAAAAAAAAACTCAGGGCTAGTCATATTATTATTTATTCATTAATTAATTAATTGCAAAAATTAAAGGTACGTTTGTATTGATTTTTTAAGAAAATTTTTTTTATTAATTTCTTATTTTAAAAGTACTTTCTATCAAAGTTATAGCTATTTAAATTTTTTAAAAAATATTTGATTTTTAATTTTTGTTTTTTTAAAAAATTAAAATTTTTAGCTTCTGAAAAAAATAAATTTTTGATTTTTTTTATGATTTCTGCTTTTATTAAAAGCTGATATCCAAACAGACTTTTTCTCAAGAAGTGTTTTTTTTTTCTTAAAAAAAAAATAATTTTTAAAGAACAAAAAAATCATTCAAACGGACTCTAAGTAACCCACCACCAACTCATCGTTATCATTCTCTGTTTCCCAGCTTTCACCACCGTCACCGCTGCCACCCTCTGCCGAGAAGCACCGAGTTCTGGAAAATGGAATCATCAAGCGTGCTTTCAACCCTTATGGTTCCGCTGCCTATACTTCATCACCATGAGTGCTTACAGAGGAGGCATGAACACCTTCGCCATTAATGGCCTCGCTTCCAAGCCCCTTCATGTTTACGGTAAACCCACCTACAAGTATGAGTGGGTCACCGCCGGCGACACCTCCAGTGACAGTGACAGTGACAGTTTTAAGAAAAAGCCGAGCCGACTGACAAGCCGAGGTTTGCACTACCTGCCACCCTGTAACAACACGCGCACTTGCACGTGCAAACGTACGCCTCCACTCTACTCATGGGAGTCAAAATCTAGTGAATATAATTACTAGTTTGGCTATACCAAAATGATAAGTGACGGATGGCACGTGAATATAAATTTGACTTGTTTGAATTAAAAAACAGAAAAAAAAAAAAAAAAAAAAATTATGGCATAGCCCCGAGCTCAAGGAAATCAGCGCTAGAGGTGGCAAAGCGGGCTATCCGCCCCAGCCCGTCAAAAAGCGGGTTGGTCCGTCCCACCCCGTCATCAAAGATGGGCTAGATATCTCAACCTGCCCCGTCCCGTTTGGACGGGCGGGGCGGATTGCCCGCCAAACTCATGACATTTTACACTAAAAATTAAAAAAAAAAAAAAAAAAATCAGCCCGGGCAAGCTGGCTGGCAGCGGGTTTGAAAAACTCAGCCCATTCCACCCCGTTTAACGGGCTCGGCCCATTTTGCCAACTCTACTCAGCGCACTAGTAGATGGTTAATTGCTGCAATTATTTTGGTGGATGCAGAGACCTTCATAAAGGAGAATAAACATTTTTCAGAGAAAATTATATAATAAGATAAAAAAATGAATTAAATATTTCTAATCCATCGGCTAATTCTAACATAACCCAATAAATGAATGGGCCTTACGAGTTATAGTGTCAAGATGATCTGACCACACAAAGGATCGAAAAATTAATGGGATTTTTTTTTTTTTGGATACAAAATTAATGGGACTTTGAAATAGCAGAATAAGCTAACCCTAGGACATGGGGCTTTTTTTGACAGCTCTACTGATGGGAGTAGAGTGAGAAAAAAAAACACTCTACTTAATTAATTAATTGCAAAAATGAAGTAACGCTCTAATTAATAAATACATAAATAAACAAAACAAGGACAAAAGGACCATGCACCTCACAGAATTTTATTTAAAAACAAATAAATAGAAAAAAAAAACTATTTTGCAAATTGGTATTCTAAAAAGAGACTAGGTTCACGAGTACAAATACAAACAAGAAAAAAAAAAAACTTAATTTTACTATCTTCATACAACCGTAATAAATTAGTTATCCTAAACTTAATGTGCAATCAATAATAGCATTCAAACTGACATATAAAATTCATTGTTTACTAGGAGTGAATTTTCGATACAAGGAGGTATATCCTTACCAAAAAAGAAAAAAATAGAGTTATAGAAGAAAATAATCATAAAGACAAGGGTGATGTAAATGTTATTTATTTTCATATTTGATCAAAGATGTACTGAATGATGATATCTGTAATACTGTAAATATTTCCCTTGACTAGAGTTCAAGTTACCACCCAATTACATCACTATTGAAAGTCATTGTGGTTAAAGAGGGTTTTATTTTTATTTTTTTACTCAATGGTATAGCTTAATTGCTAAATTCAATCCACACCAAATATATTTTTGAGGAAGAATGAAAGGCTTTAACATCCAATGGACTTGGACCGACTCATCTCAAAAACCAATTAAAATAGGTATATCAAAAAAAAAAATTCCTTAAAAAAAATGATGATTTTGTCAATTGAATTTTGTTGGACAGGTTTAAAACTTAGAAATCATCATAGTTTTTTGGTCCTCACGTCGATTACAAGCACCTGAGCTTTCAGTGAATTGAATCATCAATCATGAAACATACATAAACGAGAAAGAAATAAGGAAACGCCAAAAAAGCAAAGAGATCAAACACTTATTATCTTTGCCTGTTCCTACGTTACATCCAAATTTCCAATGAATGTCCCACCAACCCACCCAATATAATAACAAAAGTGGAAGAAACTAGAAAGAACTATAGATTTTTATTAAAAATGATTCTGTTTTTTTAAGTACATTTCTTGCTATGGCAGCAAAAACAAACAGAATGATATTTATATGTATCTACAGATCAGAATTGAATTTAACGCCTGAAATAATAATTAGACCACGTGAACCTGTAATAGCCTTCCAGAAGGTATGACAAGATAGTAGTCCCTACTTCGTTTTCAAAACTGTGGGCCCAATGGATACCTAGTTCCTTTCATTAGGAGCACACCAGCAAAAGTGGCAGCACCGGTCCTATCTCAAGAATGAATATCACATGAGAGTACGTACCAACATCAAAGTTGTGTTCACTTGTCTCGTATATTATTGCCACCCTTTAAAAAGAAAATAACTGCAAACTAATATACCAGCACCCCCAGCATATGCACCTCCCCAAGAGGGATATAATCGTATAAGCTCCCAAACCAAAACGTTTGCCCTCAATGTTTCGCTCTTTTGGAAATTGCTATTGACTACTGCAAGCCATACAAGGGACTTTCAGGCGTGCCGATTGCAGAGAAATCCTTTTGTATTGTTGCAGTATACTATTTGATTTCTAATACTTCATTTCAGGTAAGTGACTAGGGCATGCGCTCAAGATCGATGGGACATTTCTCCCACAAACGGGGGAAGATTTTTGGCCAGTCCCAGCAGAAGAATTCTTAGATTGATGCATCTGTGAAGTGTTCATTGATGAACAAACTTTGCTTCCCTGGGGATTTATATTCAAGTTGCCCCCATTAGGTGGAGTTCCTGCAACTGTTGTACCAAAAGGCTGGTTGTTACTGAGTAGCTGTTGCCCATGGGGTGGCAGGGATGACATGTAATTTCCCCCAAAAGATATTTGCGTTTGACCCTGTAAAACTCTTCCTTGCTCCTGAGAAAAACTTTTGAGGGTTGGGGTAGTAGATGTTACAATAGATGTGTTAAGAATCTGAGAATCTGGGGTTCTTCCCGAGTTCTTAGACTGAGAAGCTTGATTAGAACTTTTGCACTGAGTTTGATTTGGTGAGAAAACTGGGAAACTATTTAAAATTTTCGTAGCTGCAGTAGCATTAGTTGATGATGCTTTATATCGAGTAGCCATAGCAGATTGCTGCTGTAACATACCATGCTGCTGCTGCTGAAGATGAAGCAGCTGTGGTGACTGTTGAGAATTTGAAGCATTACCAGAAAGAGGCAAACTTGTGGTTGTTGCAGTTGAAGTTATGGAACGACTAGGCCAGCTTCCATTCATAGGAGATGATACAAAGTTAAGATTCTTTGATGAATTATCAAAAACAAGGGTCGTTGGGCCACTGGTTGACGGCTTCCCAGAAGTGGCTTTCTTTTCATCATCTTGATGGGAAGAATCACCTCCACTCTTCCCTTCGGTAAGAGAATATATCTTTGGCTGAGTAGTATGAGATGTACTTGCAGCTTGATATCCTTGCCATGCAATATCAGGCAGGCTCTGAAATATCACTGGGTTCTGTGTCATGGCCGAGAAGTTAAGATTTGAAGGAACACTGGTCCCATTAAATGCAGCAAATGATATTGCAAATGCTTGAGATGGTATTCGTTCAACTCCCCCCTTTAAAGCCTCTTGCTGTTGCTGTCTATCACTAAAATTTCCACTGTTGCTGCCAACACTATCCGATTTTGCAGATTGCCTAAAAGAAAGGTTCGGTGGCTGAACTGGAATCGGGAAGTTCTGCCCAAACACATTCTTTTGGGAGTAAGCCATTCCACTAGCAACAGATGAGACATTCTGTCCGGCCATCCCAGTCTCGTGATTGTGAGAATGAGACAGTGATGTATGCTGCTTTGCTGGCTGTTGTAGTGGCATAGCTGTAGAGGTCAAAATATTGCTGCCATTAACTTGAGTCCCCTGTGACTGCTTATGAGATGATGACGAAACACCTGTAGTGCTTGCATTAGGATAACTTGGTTGAACCAGTGCTTTGGAATGAGGATGCTGTTGTGGATGCTGAAGAGGATAGAACATTTGAGAAGAGTACAAAGGCCCACTGAGTACGGGAGTTGCTGGCGCAGGGCTTGCACCTTTGATTGCTGCAGATGTTCCAAGATGAGTTGAAAAGGGGAATGGATACCCGTTATTCTGAACTACTGTCATATATGAAACATCATTGGCTGCCAAATTTGGGTAGCTAAAGCTCATTGCAGCACCAATTGCTGGCAGTGATGAGGTACCAAGAGATCCAGCACCTGAACTATGGGATTTATTAGATGAGGAAGCACTGCTGGTGCAATTCACACCACCTGCCTGACTAGTAGCTGTTGTTACTGATGCTTGATGTTGGCCCAGTGGAAACAGGAAAGCAGGACCATGCTACATTCAGAATAAAAGAACGTGACTTTCCAAAATAATACATATTAATGCAATCAATAAAATAAATGACATACTATTAGTGAACTGTATAGAAGCTATTAGAAGACAAGATCATACCACCAAATTATCAGATGACTCTGGATGCGGACCTTGCCGAAAAACAAGCTGCTTCATTTGTGTTGAATCCACTGGGTTGGTAGGAACGGAACTTTTAATTGCATCAAGACTGTAATTATAATCACCTGTGGCGGCCCAACCCTTCTCTTGTGCAGCATTTTGGTTCATACCTGGGGAGTGTTTTTGAGACTGCTTTCCGACAACCACACTTTCAGCAGAGTTCATTCGAATGACATTTTTGGGCTTTGTGTCACACACAGAACTATAGCCAATAGCTGATTGCAAAAAGGGGTTCACCTTTGTACACTGCTGGTGCATGAATATGTTGCGAGCAATGTGATGATGGGTTGCACATCTCTTTGGTCGAGGTTGAGAGAGAACCAAATTCACATGCTGAATGTTCGAATTAAGCAAGGGATTAATCATGATACAATTCCATGTTACAGGCAGGAAGCAAGAATATTAACACTCGTAAGAATAAAGAAAGGACTTAAACAAGTACAACAAAAATCAATTCAGTGAGAGCTGTATTACCTGTGGGGCTGTCGATGATCCTGTGGTTTTTTCCGTCTTCACAACTGTCTCCAAGGGCGGCAGGTATCTGCCAATGATAGTTATTGATCTTAGTAAAATCACAATTTTCACATGACCAATCATTAAGTAAAAATAGATATGGATCAGAACGAAGAAAAAAAACAGGTTCTGAGGGAAGTAAATGGTCTAATACCCAAGAGAGAGACTGCATGGCTGTTCTGATACAGTTGTTGACAAAGGCATCGAACTAGATTGAACTGAAGAAGAAAAGAATAAGAATAAGAGGCCTCTAATCAACAAGTTAGCCACAACCAGAGTTGGCGGGTGGCACTGTATAATTACATTAAAAAAAAAAATGTCAAGTTACCAGTTTTCTCCACTTTGGAATTTCTCGATGTAGTAGGTTGTTCCTCCTTATTCCTATCCTCCTCTTCTAATTCATTGTTCGTAGCTATGTCTTTATGTTTGTTTGGCTTCTCCAAATCAAATTTTATCTGCACCTCTTCAATTTCTTCCTGCGTTTTCTCTTTCTCAACGAGTCTTTCCACCATCTTGTCTTCACCCCTTGACAAGCTATCCCTTTCTGGGGATAGGGTCATAGGAGGAGGAGCCTGTTGGAAATGCACTCTTCTTCAGATATTTGACAGCAAAAACCAAGATAAATGTAACCGGAAAGCGAACAAGAAGAATCCTCACCATCAGATCAATCTCAAACTTGTCCACACGTTGCATGTTGGCCCCCGGAACAGCACACATCCTAGTAAAATTAAAGCAACAAGGAAATGGAATCAATAATCAGCCATCCCAATAAGTATATAAAGAGCAATTTTCAAAAATGCTCACACTCTGGTAGAAGTAGAATCCTGTTTATCCACATCCAACTTGGACTTGGAGCATGATGGTGATTCCACTGAGAAGAGTTCTGATCTTCCATCTGCAGTATCGCCACATCCAACACCTGAATTCAAATTTTCTTCCTTAATGTCCTCTTTTGACTCATTCTCATGACAAGAAGCATTATCACCCTGACAACCCGACCGACTTGGTGATTCAGGTGAAGGTTTCTCCATTTTCGCAGGTTGCTCACTTTCAATTCTGAAAGACTCGGCCGTTGAATTGTTCGGAGCTGGAGCAGAAGAACTGTAGTTTTCCCCTTTCTTTTCCTCTGGTAATAAAAAAGGATCAGGAAAAATAAATGAGACAAATTCCATTATCTAATCGAGAAAATTCAACTCACCAGCATCCGTTGAAGGATGCGAATCGCTAGCTTCAAGCTTTTGCGAGGAAGACTCGTGGTTCTTAGAAGTCCTTAAACCGTACAGAAGCTCAGCTATCTCAATCTCGATGTCTTCTTGAGTTGAAGAAGACCCCGTCGTCTTCAGAAAGCGAGTCTTGGGTTCAATCGATTTCTAAAACAGAAAAGGAAGCTATATCATTGTATTTTTTTCTTTTTTTGTGACAAAATAAAATTGATTGAAAAACTATAAGAGAAAGCAAAGGTAGCACAATACCATCTTCTTCCGAAGAGAAACATTGGAAGACGAAGGCGATGCCGTTTCAGCACTCTGAAAACTCTGCTCCTCCATCCAACTCTCATGCGCTCTTTTCACAGTAGCTGCAGAAAAAGAAAAAGAAAAAATCAGTGCTCCGAATAGAACAAAAAAACGAGTGGGTTTTGATTGAGAAGGACCTGAACGAGCCTTCCTGGGAACTGTGGCGCCGATCATTTCGTCTGTTATGTTCCAGGGCCGTAGGGCGGTGGAGATTCTCCGGTGGTTTTGATCGGATATGGATGAAGCAGTCTCGCAGTGCTGTTGTTGTTCATTTCCCACACTCTCATTTTCGGTGCGGTGAGAGTTACACGCTCTCCTCCTCTTGAACGAATCTCTATCCCTCTTAGCCTTTAACCTCACCGTCTCTTGCAGCTCCACCTGTCCTTCCTCTTTTAAAAGAAACGCAACGCAAAATCACATAACCCGATGATGGGGAAAAAAAAAAAAAAAAACACAACAAAAGAAAGAGAGAATGAAATAAGAGGAACATACGAGAAGAGCCTCGAAGAGAAATTGTCGGGTGACGGCGCCTAGGGAAGGAGGCATTTGGTGTGGAAGGCATGGATGATGATGATCTTCTTCTGATGAGGTTGGGAAGTTCTTTTTGATGTTGTTGATGATGTTGTGTTGTCTTCTCATGTAACCTAAGTCGCCGAGAAATCAGTTTGTGTGTAGCGTAAAGTGGTGCGGGAGAATTGGATGCGTTACCGGAATCCCGGCATGAGCGGCGGAATCGTTTGACAGCGAAATGAATGGCGTTGTTTTCTGTAGAAGAAATGCTCTCTCACTTGGCGTTTTCTCCCCCTTCTTTTCGGTTTTTGGGATCACTTTGCTTCTCTTTACTTTACTTTCTCAAATCACAACTTCCCTTCTCTCCGTTTTTTTTTTTTCTGCTTTTTTCAAAATTAAAAAAATACATATATATGATATATCCATTATTAACTTACAGTCATGCGAAAGCTACTTAACACTCCGAAGCATTAGCGGCCGGCTGGGATTTCGTGATGATGTTGTTCGCCTGATCCTCGCCGTTGGATGAGTGTACATCGTACGGCCCACGGGCCTCGTGGGCTAGCCCGTGCTTACATGGCACAGACGTCCTTGTCTGGCGGAATATGAGCAATGCGCACTTGGCCATCTATCACTTTATTTAATGCTTTCTTAAATAAAAATTCAGATAGGGAAGTCTTACTTACACGCGTTAAGTGCGCGCGTGCTTTGAAATAACGTACCAACCACTGTTGCAGCCTCGCAGCGGAGTAGGAGGGCGGCGTAAAAAAAATGGAGAAAGTAATATTCGAGTACAAAACACATGTCCGTAGACTATTAGTTAGTTGGAGACTTGGAGGGCATGAGAAAAATATGTCGCGGTAGAAATTGAAAAAAGAGTAAATACATCTTTCACTCAATGATATCCGTTTTAGTTCCTAGTAAATAAAAGGATATTTGTAGTTCTTAAGAAATTTAAAGTGGACCTATTTTAGTTCTTCTGAGGGATTAATGTGGATCTTTTTTGAATTTGTGAAGTATCACAATTTTAACTAAATTGGTCCATTTTGAATTTTTTAGGAACCACGAATAATTTTTTTATTTGTTAGGGACTAAACCATGTATCGTGAAATTTGTTGAGGACCAAAAAGAGTATTTACTATTGAAAAAAATTCCTTTAGGCGCAAGAAATTTAAATATGTTTGAAATAAGTCTAAAGAATAAACCATGTATATTGCATAGAAGAAGATTAGTGTATATTAATTTTTTTAAAAATTAATATTTAACAAACTGAATACTTGAGTTGAGTTAACCATTTATACAAAATTTCATTCCAACTGACGTTTTAATGGTACTTCTACGCATCTAGCACATGGCAGTGTCTCATTTATATGTTTATAAATACCCTTTTACCTCCCTCTCATTTTAACACATAATTCACACATCTTGTTCTCACAATCAAGAATATTATTAAGAGCATGTTTAGTACATAATATAATATAATATCTGATTGTAAAAAAGTATGATTGTATAAAATTTGATTAAATTTTAATATTATCTAGCGTTTGGTATGATAATTGTATAAGATAATATAGTGTATAAAATAACATCATCCAATATTTGGTAATACATTATATAATACTAGATAGGTTAAAAATAAATATTTTTGTCAAAAATACTTTTTAATAATGAATTTACATAATTCTTCTAAATATATCATATTATATTATTTTTTATATAAATATATTGATCAGTGTCTCCAAAAAATATATTATTTTTATAAAAAAAAAAATCTCCAATATTTAAAAAATTATATATTGAAAATTTATTTCTTATTTTAATATATTAATTCTTAAGAATTACATTAGTTAATACATCAACCCCTTGTCAGGTCTAATCCTACCCTCTTATTCCTGATTAAGTTATACGTCATTTTGATTTATAAAAGAATCTTGTTGTATAAGCTTATACTATACGATGATCACACCAAACAATTAAAAATATTGTAACATATATTATAAATTTATATTGTCAGGCCTTATACGTCACACCAAACAGGCCTTAGGGCATGTTTGGTGTGATGTATAAGGCATGATAGTATAAGCTTATACGATACGTTATGACATTTTCAGTTGTTTGGTGTGACCATCGTATAGTATAAGCTTATACAACATAGTCCCTTAATACATCAAAATGATGTATAACTTAATCCGGCCTAAGGGTGAGAGATAAGGCCTGATAAAAGATTGTTGTATTAACATCGTTGACCAATGTAATTCTCAAAAATTAATATATTATTTTAATATTAATCTATTAAAATAAAAATTAATTTTGCAATCTATTAATTTTTAAAATATTGAATATTTTTATTTTTATAAAAATTAATTTATATTTTGGACACACTGATCAATAAATTTTTATAAAAATTAATATCATATGACATTTTTTGAAGAATTATATAATTTCTTTATTAAAGGATATTTTTATTAAAAATATTTATTTTTATCATATATAGGATTACACAGTGCATTACCAAATACTATATAATATTATCTTATACAATATATTATTTTATACAATATTGTGCCAAACGTTGGATAGTATTAAAATTCAATCAGGTCTTATACAATCAGGCATTATACTATCAGGTCTTATACTATCAGGCCTTATCCTATACTATGTCCCAAATAATTTAGATTTAACATCAAATTGTTCAAAGCATTTGATTAGTTAATTTAATATAAGTTAAATAGTAACATGTGAAAGCAAAAATACTACACTAAATATAGATAACATCATATAACTTCCGAGTGGAAGTAATGGTCCACATTTTGGGCATGTTTGGTGTGACGTATAAGGCATGATAGTATAAGCTTATACTATACGTTATGACATTTTCAGTTGTTTGGTGTGACCATTGTATAGTATAAGCTTATACAGCATAATCCCTTAATACATCAAAACGATGTATAACTTAATCCGGCCTAAGGGTGAGGGATAAGGCCTGATAAGAGATTGATGTATTAACATCGTTGACTAATGTAATTCTCAAAAATTAATATATATATATTTTTTGGTAAACCAAAAATTATATATTATTTTAATTTTAATCTATTAAAATAAAAATTCATTTTTCAATATATTAATTTTTAAAATATTGAATTTTTTTTATAAAAATTAATTTATATTTTGGACACACTAATCAATAAATTTTTATAAAAATTAATATCATGACATTTTTTGAAAAATTATATAAATTTTTTATTAAAGGATATTTTTATTAAAAATATTTATTTTTATCATATATAGTATTATACAGTACATTACCAAATATTAGATGATATTATCTTATACAATATATTATTTTATACAATACCGTGCCAAACGCTGGATAGTATTAAAATTCAATCAGGTCTTATACAATCAGGCCTTATACTATCAGGTCTTATACTATCAGGCCTTATCCTATACTATGCACCAAACATGCCCAAAATGTGGACCATTGCTTCCACTCGGAAGTTATATGATGTTATCTATATTTAGTGTAGTATTTTTGCTTTCACATGTTACTATTTAACTTATATTAAATTAACTAATCAAATGCTTTGAACAATTTGATGTTAAATCTAAAATTATAAATCATGCAATGATTATAAAATACCAAATGTTAATAAATCAGAGTTGTAATTATGTATACCTTGTTGGGCCATTACAAAGTCGGAGAAGAACGGTTGGAAATATGGGAACAAGATGCTAGAGTCTTCCTCTCTATTACCTATTCAGAAATTGGCAGCCTTCAGCAGATGGGAGCATGATGGCTTATGGAGCTTAACTCCAATATATATAGGCTAGAGAGGGGACCTAGCTAATAACCCAGACAAGAGTCTGTGTCCACTGGGTCCACCCATCATGGAAAACCAGGGTCACACTAAAGCCTACACTGCTGCCCAACTAGGCCCAAGAACAATAGATGCCTTAAGCCCATTTCAATGTGATCACAATGGGCTAGTTACAATAATAATATTAGAATATTCATTAACCCGATTAATTTTAAATACAAAACTAATTAACTAATATTGCCCATAAAATAATATTTCTAACATTCTCCCACTTGGGCTATATTAATTAATTTAATATTATTTTGAAAATCATTTTATTTCGAAAACGACTCTATCGGGTTAATAACTAAAAATAATTTTATGTGGCCACAATTTTGAAAAACAATATTCCAATTCTAGCATCTCAACACAATTCAATCCAACATGACCTCATCATAGGAATATGGCGATCCATATACCGAAAATATCATAGCATATGACCTTCCATACTCACATACAATGAGTATTATATCTTCATGAATCAAGGCCTAGTAGTGTAGTAAGAATTAGTGCCAAAATGTGATCAACAATGTGACACACTAATTCTTATCGGTCCTCAATGTAATTTCTCAACAACATGAAATTACATTAGTGCAATTTCCAAGCAACATGAAATTACACTCTGTAATGCAACTTTTCAACAACATGAAATTGCATTACCACAATTTCTAAACAACATGAAATTGCACTTCTTGATACGATTTCTCAACAATATGAAATCGCATCACCACAATTTCTAAACAACATGAAATTGCTTTGCTTAAATAAGCCAGTATGTCACAGTACAACATGAGATCTCAAAATTTGTGACATCCAATCACCTTTAAGCTCACAACATGCTTAAAGATATTATTCCATACATATATTTCTCAGTTCGACAGGAGAAATAATAATAACGATGATCATCAAAATTATGAAAATTCAAACAAATATCGCAAAATAATTATCAGTTTGCATCGAAAAGTGATCAAAAAACAAACAAACTGAATATGACTCCCACTAACCAAAGGAATCAAAAGAATATAAAATATTCAAAAGCAAGCCTTGAGTATTACTCCCACTAATTAATAAAATAAAAGAATTTAAACTCATATTCTACACACGAAGGAAGCTACTCTAAGGTCTTTCTTATCGAGGCTTTTAGATAAGAGACTCTTGTTTTATTCAATAATATCTCATGAACCAAACATGCTCAAACAACATGAAACACTTTTCCAATATGTGTTTCTAAAAATTATTGCATTTGATAATCCAAAAAAAATCTCATTCAATATCAAACACAACTTTAAAATTGTGCACCGAGAGCAACTTAAGTAATAATACCACATGTATATTAACATTGAATGTATCGCGTAATATTATAATATTAGAAATATTGGATAGGAATAGATTAAAACTCTATCGTTTTCCTATCGTTACAATGTATTCAAAT